GGGGGCAGTGTTGCGTCAGCGAGTCACATGACCACCGTGACGCCACGTTTCTAGAACTATCCTGTACTTTGGCGAATGCTCTAGTAATTACTAGATATAGGGTAGGCTGGTATATAAAAGAGGGGAACGTAATATGTGGATAGACAGTGAGTAATTGAACTGCAGTCAGAAGTATTATTGACGTTCGTTGTTATAGCGTTTGTTTAGCGCAATTGTTGAAGTTGAGTGTATCGGTAAAGTTATATTCGGAAAGAATAAACCGGTTTTTATTAAGAAAGAACTTGTGTCGCTTAAGTTTCGTCGGAACGAAGTTACGGAAAATCAATTAACAAACGGAGACGTAACAATGGTAAAAATAATGTATTTCTGAGGAAAGAAAGGATCGCGTTGTCACTGCCGGTGTTCATACAGTTCCCAAACTAATATATATTAATATTATTATTAGGCCTTACTTCGACTTTTTGATCTAAATAATCTAAAGTTAAGTTATTAACTATACTTATCAATAAATTCTTATATAAACTGTAAGCTAATTATGAGAAGCAACACAAGTAACTCCTAAACAAGTTATAGCAATTTTTCTAGTGAAAGGCGAATGTAGAATATTCACGTGAGGCAGCAAATGCAACGCGAAAGTAGGTTAACAGTGTTCAAATTCAATAACAAATGCATCCAGTTATACTGTTCAAATAGTTTAATATTGCCTTCGGAATCTTAAGTATATAATATTAGCAAAATCAACATGCTTACTGCAAAGGTAAATGAATTTGAATTTAAGTATAAAACTTTGAATTAGTGTTATACAGAAAATGTATCGTATTTTTCCTTGCTAGTTTTGGCGTTACAAACACAGATTATTTAGTCTACAACTAGAACATAGAAATAAGCAATAATATTACTGTTAGGCTTAGCGGTAGTCTAACCCTAGACTGAGCTCGAGAGACTAATGCATTTGTGCTTTTTAATTTTATCGGGCTACTTTCTTCAAATCCAGTGCCTATTTAATTAATGGAGTAATACACCCTCTCACAGTGTACATTAATTATGGTGGCCAATTATGACAAATTTTGCAATAAATGCAGGCGGAAAAAAAGATACTTATAATATGTTATATTCTATCTTGTACAGGGAGAAGGTGTAAATTATATATATATATATATATATATAAAATCAGGTTTGACAGCTGAAGACAAATTATATATTTTTTTACAATGGTTAATTTTTTTAAAGATGGCCTGAGACTAAGTATCTGATAAGAAGGTTTTCACATAAAAATCGTCTATAATTCAAAAACATTTTATAGACGATAAAATTAAATGAATCGAAATGTGGGTGGAATATTAAAAGTTGAAAGTCACAGTAAAACCATTACATTTCCAGAGGTACCTTTATTTGCACATAAAGATCGTCTTTAATTCAAAAAACATTTTATAGACGATAAAATAAAGGTACCTCTGGAAATGTAATGGTTTTACTGTGACTTTCAATTTTTAATATTCCACCCACATTTCGATCCATTTAAAACATTTGAAATTATTTATAGTCTTGTATTACAGTAGGTGTATGTTGTGAAAGGGCTTGTCACTCCACCAGTCATTGGCATTGGAAGATATTTAGCTGGATATAGAGTAAGAACATTAGACTGAGAAGTGGTCCTAAAGGTCAAATTATGAGACTAGCCTAGCACCTTCCTAGAAAAATAACTTTGTCTTTCATAAATTCATGAAGGGCATTCAGAGGCATCACTAGGTGCTTAAAAGATTTAGGGCTCAAGCCCATAGGTGTGAGAATTTTTGGTGTTTCAGTATGATATTGATCGTGGTTTCCTATTCCAATTTTTAACAACACCAACTGGGGATTCGAGGCACTGTCAAACAGAATTTGGTTTGGGCCCTGTGTGCCAGCACCTAGTGATGCCTCTGAGAAAATACAAAGAGTGATTTTTGCATTATGTAATTACAATAAGTTGTAGATAGTCCCAAGAAATCTAGTTTTTTGATCACTAATATAAAGGTCCCAGACTTCTCAGAAAATTGTTACATTCATTGTAGACATATGTGTTAAATGATTTGGAAATGTAAGATTTCAGTGTTTTTAATAGTTAAATAACCAGTTCAAAAGTTCATATACTGTATATTATTAGTTGATATTATGGCCTATAAATACTCTTTCAAAATGAAGCTGTTGCTATTTAAATCAGATAACCTCTATTTATTTTTTTACAGATGTTTGTAAGAAACTGTTACTTGCTACGAAGTGTTCACAGAGCTAGCATGTTTACCATGCAGCACAGGAAAAGTTCGTCTTATGAACCTGAATATTTAGAGGTAAGAACAATATTAGGAGCTTGTAGGTTCACTTCTAGAAATACTTTTAAAAACATCTTTTCTGCACCTTTTAGTGTTTCAGATTTCTAAGCTATATTGTAACTCACTGATGCTATCAGAATTACCCAGGAATAATGAAAAACAAAAATGCAACTTGGCTATACAGTTGATTGAAAACCTAATTCAAATTTATTGTAAATGTATGAAATCACTGAGATGCTTACAGATACTTTGAATGAATTTTCTGTTTTAGCTTTTAAAGCCCTCGGTGCCACTGTATGAGGTTCTCAATGTCCAGGTGAAGGGCCATGACTTTGCTGTCCTGGAGCAGTTTGCTAAGTATGTACACAACATAGCTTTGAAAATGGATATTGAAGTTGAAGACAGGTGAGTAAGGTACAAGAAAAACCCCAAGGGTTATAGTTTAAAAATTTTAATATCAAACTATGAAATTGCATTATATATATATAATTTAATGTCTCACATACATTTTTGTATTTTACACTATGTTGTTAATAACTTACAGTAAATGAAAAATGCTTTATTGTATTGTTTTGTCCATTTTTACTGCATATCCAGTAAATAGAATTTTTCAGGTTCTTTGACGTGTTTTTGATGAAACTGTTAGCTGTTACTGAAATGTAAAAGGAATGGAACTGCAAGTTGATTATGTAGCTGGATTTAAAACTATGCTTCTTGAGTTTCTCTAATAAACAATAACAGGAATTGTTATGGTGTTCATATCTTTTATTGAATTCCGTTTTAACACCTATACAACATTGCTCTACTTTGTTGAATTTCTGTAATAAACAATTAGGGGAAAATTCATTCCTTGCATACAGAATATTATTTGGTTCTGGTATTATGTATTTGAATGTGCAAAGTTTATAAAATGTAAATGCGGTACTGTGTGTATTTAAAGCAGTTAAGTGACCTGCCCAGACTGCTCTGTAAGATGTTAGCTACATTGAGTTCTGAATGAATCTTATGGCTGTGTGGGCATCTCAATGACTGTGAGGTTGTTGTTTTATTGTTAAACTTAAGTGGATTAAATCTATTCCACAACACCCAAACACCTGTTGTGATAAAAATGACAAACTGATTGACTTGTATAGTAAAAGACACCAGATATAGCAAAGCTTTCAAAACCTGGATATTGGAGACAAATATTAAAACTTAGCAGTGTGATGTTAGCAATACTGTAAGTGTCTATAAACAAATGAAGAAATTCATTTACATAGTCTTAACACATAAACATTGCTGTCTGAGAGACTTGAGATGGGGCTCTGAGGGATGACAGATCCATTGCCGTTGGTACTATCTATAAGCACTACTACTTTATTCATGTAGTAATGTTATCCGTACTTCCTTACTCCTAGTTTCACTAGTTGAATTGCATCCTCTTTTAACACATGTACAGCACTGATCTACTTCTTGAGTTCCTATGATAAACAATAACAGGAATTGCATCCTGTTTTAACACATGCAGCATTGACCTACTTGAGTTTCTATGATAAACAATAACAGGAATTGCATCCTGTTTTAACACACAAACTCAAGAAATGGAGCAATGCTGTATAAACAGGATGCAATTCCTGTTATTGTTTATCATAGATGAATACATGTGGAGAGTTTATAGTGGTAACTTGTAACATACCTGAACATTCCTTTCATAAATATTAAGATGATAATTGTTTTCTACAACTGTGCTTTCAGGTTTGAAAGTGGTAACATGCAGAGACTGTGGGGGGGTTGCCCAGCTGAAAAAAAATATTGCTTTACACAAGAAAACAACTTCCTGTTACTGTATACTATGGAAATTCAAAAAGTAAATCAATGCTTTATGTGTGTTGAAACAGGATGCAATTCCTGTTATTGTTTATCATAGAAACTCAAGAAATGGAGCAATGCTGTATGTGTGTTGAAACAGGATGCAATTCCTGTTATTGTTTATCATAGAAACTCAAGAAATGGAGCAATGCTGTATGCGTGTTAAAACAGGATGCAATTCCTGTTATTGTTTATCATAGAAACTCAAGAAATGGAGCAATGCTGTATGTGTGTTGATTGCATTAGGATAGAGTTATAGTATATGTAAAATTATTTCTTTGTTGTTTAATTGGGAAAACATATACAGTGATTATAACTACTATTTGTAGCAGTTGATAATCAAAACATTGTATTACAGGTAGGTCTGTTAAGTAATAGCTACTTTTTTTTACATCCTGATCCAGGTGTTAGTTTTTAACATTTGTTGACTTATAGAGAGTAGTTTCATGTGTGGTCCAAGTGTGTTTATATGTAATATTAAAATGCATGTATTCATATATTATTCCAGGTGTCAGGACTTTCAGCAACTTTAGCTCCAACCTTCCTGGAAGTGATTCAAAAGTCACTACCAGAGGGAGTGAATCTTTGTGTTCAGTTTCACAAACAGGAGTTTGATGAAATGCGCTACATTCCTGATTTACAACTGGAAGACTTTAAACGGCAACTAGATGAGATAAGAAATCCAAAAATCCAGGCAGGAAAAAAGAAATGATTGTATAAATAAAACTGTGTAACTATTTGACTTTGTAGATATTATTTAGGATACAAATCAATTTATTTAAGAAAACTTTTTTCTGTAATGTGTAATAAAGCTCAACATGTGCAAGAATGATCTGGGAAGAGTTTTCCTGGTAATGTTTGTGACAAATTATGTCTGGTATTTTAATAGAAACAATTGGTCAAGAGTATTAATTCAACCCAAGATAATATCTATTGTTTAAGTAAATGAAGAAATGGTCAAGAAATTACTTAGATTTATTAATGATATTGAGGTCTTTGGTGTTGCTAGCTGTGAAGAGGATGCTGGTGTTTTTAAAAAAAAAGGATTCAGATCATTTGGTGAATTGGGCAAATAGAGGGCAGGTGAATTTTAATTATAATAAATGCAAAATAATGCATTTGGGTTATCATAATATGAATTATGAATATAATTTTTATGGGAATAAACCTAACAGTGTTGTGGAAAGAAAGGATTTTGGTATTCTGTTAATTGGCTTCTTAAATCATCCAAGCAATGTGCTGTTGCTAGTGCTATGGCAAATGGGATTTTAGGTTGTATCTAGAAAAATATTGAATACAAGTCTAAAAACGAAGTTATTATTTCATTGTATAGGTCACTGACTAGGCCATGTTTGGAGTATTATGTTTATTATTATTATTATGTAGAGTATTGAAATAATGTAAATGTGTTCAGGGGAGGGATACCTCGGATGGAAAGATTTCATATGAGGACATGTTAAGATCTCTGAAGTTGTTTTCTCTTAAAAAAAGGAAAATTAGAGGTGATCTGATTGAAGTGCTTAATGCCATTAAGGGAATTTATAGTGGTGATGTATCATCTTTTTTTCATGCTTCATTGTGAGAATAGTAGGACTCAGGGACACAAATATGAATTATGGTTAGATAGAAGTCATCTTTAGCTAAGATGGTGTTATTCTTCTAACAGGATAATTGTTCTTTGGAATGGGTTGCCTACGGATGTGGTGGATGTATTTAATTTAAAAACATTTAAGGTAGGGTAGATAAATATTTGAATCATAAGGGCTGGCTTTTAGCTGTTTTTTTCTAACATTTAGTTTAGTGGAAGAGATAGTCTTTGTGGACAATAGGTTCCATATTGTCCTTCAATTTTATTTTTTATTAATTTTCTTTTAAAAATCTTTTTCAAATAGAACAAAGTTAATAAGAAGACTTTTCTATTTCAGTTTGTACCTGTTTTTTCTCTCCTTCCCAGATCCCCTATAGATCCCTTATTTGAATGGATTAGTGAAAACAGACTGTTTATTTTTCTTGATAAAAATTTCTGTTGCACTCCAAAACGTGAACCTTTTTAGTGCCAAGACTAAAGTATATGCATGTTGTAAAATAGAATAAAAAACACTTTGAGAACATGAACAACATGGTATCAGTGACCACCAGGTTAGTAGTTTATGTAGACCTGTACATGATGATTTTGTAGCATCAGATTTCCAGTTTCTGTAGGCTAAAAGATGAGGTTTTCAGTATCTTTAGACTTCTTGAATCCTGATGACTGTACCAACCTTGTTACCTCTGTGCTGG